GCCAGATTGTGCAGAACCTGGGACAGCCCAGAACGTTTACCTGCATCCAGGGGCGCTGGGAGCCACAGCAGTTTCTGAAGAGCAATGACTACTTCAGATTTTTGCTTGAGACCAGTGTCTTTGGTCTTGAACAAGAGTCACCACAATCTAGATACTGGTGATTCTCTGAACTATTACTCATCCTCAGCAAAATAAATAAAAGCACTATAAAAGGCTGCCCCAGCTTCCTTTAAGGTTTTATGCCTTTTTTAATCAAACAGATAATACAAAACACACAGAAGAAATCTAATAGCCTCTTCAAGAAGACTGGACTTGTGTCTAATTAGACCTGAATGTGAGGTCATACTTTTCTCAAAGTTGTGTCTAAAGTTTGGTGTTTCCATGAGAATCTTAAGAATTTTATTGTTTTAAACAGGGGACACCTTTTTTACAAGGGCAATGTCAATCTGATCACTTCACAGAGTCTGCCAAAACAAAGTCTTAAAAAATGGAAAATAGTGTATTAGGCTTCCAGAGCAAATAATCCAAAATCCACAACATTAACTATCTGGTGGCTTTTACTGGTTAATGAAATCATTACACTGCTGATGTTTAAAATAGCCAGGTTTTCTAACCATGCCATACCAACATGTTTTTCTACTGTAACTTCAAAACACTTTTATATATCTGCATTTTCATAAATTTCTATAATGAAGGACTAATTTTACAGATAGAAAGAGACTTACACTCTAAAGATTTATTATAGGCCTTTAGTTTTGAACCAAACACATGCTGAAGGTCTGAACCAGTACAGAAAACACATCTTAGAGAACTAGCCACGCCAGATGTGAGACCCTGCTTATACCCTGAGAAACTAGTCCAGAACTTAGAAGCCATTCAATTACAGCCCATCCATGCAATTCCTCACCTTCTCAGAGACCACGACCCCTGGACACCTCCCACGACATTGAATCAGATCATCTCTAATTACATTTTAACCCACAGTACAAGCCAGATAGAACTAGCCTAATAATCTCAAAGCTACTTAACAGTGTGACTATTTGTTTTTTGTTTATTTTCTCCACTACAAAGAAGAAATTATGATCTATAATCAGCAGCCTGGTTCCACTGATGATTTAGTGGGAGAAACTGGATAATCACTCAAAACATTTCATTCCACCTCTAACCCAAACAAAACACACCAGGGGCAAGCTGTAACACCGGACACTTACAGACATGAAAGGCCTCGTACAATTGTTTCTTCCCCATAGCTGATGTTTACCTCTATCATACAGGTACTGAGAACACAGACCCATGAAACCAGTCTTTTATTAAATGGGTTGTTGACCACAGTAAATACCCACATAACAAAAGAGACAAGAATGACCATTGGTTAAGAACTTCTATCGGCTTTTGGACTTGGCTTAAAAAAAAAGGACACAATAATGAGATATCACCACACACCTATTGGAATGGACGCAATCCAAAACACCGATAGCACCAAATGCTAGCAAGGATGTGGAGCAACAGGAACTTTCATTCACTGCTGGCAGGAATGCAAACTGGTACGGCCACTTCAAAGACGTTTTGGCAGTTTCTTAGCAAAACTAAAACACTCTTACCATACTATTCAGTAATTGTACTCCTTGGTATTTACCCAAATGAGCTGAAATCTTGCATCCATATAAAAACCTGCACACAGATGTTTACTGCAGCTTTATTCGTAACTGCCAAAATTTGGAAGCAACCAAGTCGTTCAGTAAGTAAATGGATAAGCAAGCTGTGGCACAGCCAAACAGTGGAATATTATTCAAGGCTAAAAAGAAATGAACTATCAAGCTATGAAAAAAACATGGAGGAAACGTAAATGTGAAAGAAGCCAACCTGTAAAGGCTACACTATGTGGCATCCTAGAAAAGACAAAACTATGGAGACAGTAAGAAGATCAGTGGAGGCTAGGGGCCAGGGAGGGATGAAAAGGCAGAGCATAGAGGACTTTAGGGCCCTGCATCAGCTCTGTACTATAATCATGAACACATGTCATCATATGATTGTCCAAACCCATAAAATATACAACACCAAGAGTGAACCCTAATGTAAACCAGAGATTATGGGTGATGGTGATGTTTCAATGTTGGATCATCAATTGTAACAAATGTACCACTCAGGTGGGCCATGTTGATAACAGAGGAGGGGAGGAAAGGGAGGGAGTATTGGGGAAATCTCTGTACCTTCTGCTTAATTTTACTGTCAACCTGAAACTACTCTAAAATATAGTCTGTTTAAAAAAAAAAAAAAAGGGCGCCTCTCTCTTCCCAGGGCGTGGCTGATTAACAATGTACCTTCCTGAACTCAGTCAAGGAAAAGGAAAGACATCCATAATCACCTTTAGTGCTCAAAAATATGAAGGTTAATATTATAATTAGAAGAACTGAAAAGCCAGGAAGGCAAGTCGTAATAGGATTATGGTACCATCTTCTCTACAAATAAACAACAATAGTGAAAAATCTAGCAAGGCCTTCACAGAACTGAGTATCTAGCCCTTGTCCCAAACTTCCTGGGCAGCTACCAGCAAGGGGGCTATGTTTCAGTTAGAACTGTCAGGCTGTGCAGCTTCACCTTGACACACACCTATGACACAGTGTTGTTCTATGGAGCCCTTATAGCCATAGACCCATTTCATGTAGTCACACACATTTCTCCTCCCAAATGACATGCCTCAGAGATGACACCCACTTCAACACAATGTGGGTCCTAGGTCAGTTAGTTAACTTTAACAAAACTCTCAAAAGCTTAGAGGAATCTCTCCTCTGTGTTTGCCTTAGTAACACCTGCCAAGTACTGAGGAACTAAGTAAACCACAAGCACTTTTATTTGCTTCCCTGAATATATTAATCAGAGATTAAAGAAGAACTGAGAGGCTTCCGGTACACACAGGCAGTCATCTAAAACAACTTTAAAATTTGACTCAGTGAGGCCACAGAGCATTTCACAAAGTACATTTGGATGGTTGTCAGTTTTAGTTGAGGGTAAGTGCTAAGAAAAGCCACCACTTTAACACACCCTTCAAGCCAAGTAAGTGTTCAGAGGTCTCTGATCTTAAATACCAGGAATGAATGTGTTTGTCCATGCAAAGCCAACGTGTTTATGTACAATTTACAGACCTACTTATAATATGGTCAAGTGTCAGATAACCCTTCCATAGTTATCTCCACCCCCAACCCAGTCTTCCCTCCCAAACAAACAAATACAGCCTGAATTGCTCACTCTATGCAAGAGGCCAGAGATTTTGTTTCACGTAAGTTTTACAACTTTTGGTGGTTCATATTCTCCAAGAGACTAACCCTCTCATTTACTACCTCCAACCTTAAATAAACTGCTTCCACCAACTTCCCCCACTTCTCAAACCCCCACTCACGAAAGCCATCTCTCTTGGGCAAGAAAGCTACAGAAGAGTCTTGGAAGTGGCTGCCTCTGCACATTCTTTCCCCTTCCTACCAAAAGGGCACTTCGGGAACATTACAGTCTGGGGACATGTGAATATTGCTCCAATTCCATTCAGTGGGGCTGGACTTAAGAATGCAAAGGGTCTTTCAACAATCAATTTCTATTCAGGCTGCCAATCACACTGAAACTTTAGTGGAAACCTGCTTTCTAAGCAAATTCAGAATGCCATCCAATGCCCAAGTGTGAGCTAGCACTGGGGGAGCCTACACACGCACTCACTCCCCCACTGAAGACTTTTTCCTGGCACAGGGGCACCCTAACTCGCCCCATTTGCTTTCCAGAGTGTGACCTTCGATCCATCCCCAAATTCATGCCTTCTTCTCCAACTGAAGGTTCAGTCTAGTCAGCTATTATGCAGCAGCTATTATGCAGCAGCTATGGCAATTTATCCCCTCGATTTCTCATTTTCTTCCCTGCTCCTGGCTGGGAAACTGTTTTGATCTGAATAAAGTTGCCTGTATGGGGATTCTGCATGTTAATGATGTGGCTAGCTGGCAGGGATGTTAGGTGAGAGCACACAGTGTACTTTTTCCAGTTATGTTTCGCGTCATCACGGCTAATAGTGGCCTTTCTAAAGGCCTGCTACACTAAGAGGGAGACCTACACACCTAATCTTATCCTTTTTGAGGGAGCCTCTGGGGACCAGGTGGAAACAGAACAGACAGCCCGTTCTCCCGTCAAGTATCTGGACTCCAAGGCAAAATATCTCTAGCCACTCCACCACCAATGAAGCAAACCCACGTACATCCTGCTTAGCGAGGGAGTCAGTCGATACCCTTCACCCTGGTTTCAGCCTGTCCAGACTTCATACCCTTCACTCTGTCCAGGCCAGTATAAGATGCTGCATTCTCCCCGCTGAATAACGCCGCCGCCACCTCCCCACCCAGGGAAAGGACTTCTAACGGAGGTGGGAGCATCAGCTCCGGTACCCGCCCTTCCCTCTCGATCCTGGCCAGAAAACTCCACTTCCCGGATTCCCGGCCACTCTCTCCCGCCCCCTCCCCGGGCGATCCAGCCTGCGCCGTCCTGATGCCAGCAGAGTGCCCAGCCCAGCTGCGCAACCCCCCGCACCCAAAGTCAGGCCCCCGGAACAGGCCTCAGCTTCCTCCCTCTCCCTCAGCCTAGGGCTCCCAGATTCTGGACGCACCCCTCAAGCAGGCTAGGACCGAAAACAGTCTCACCCCGCCCCCCAAGCCACGCCGCCAGCTTCCAGCTCGGCCCGGGAGGGGCCTCCTCCCCAGCGGCGAAAAGGGAACGCGGGTGGTGGTCCCAGCAGACTCCTCCCGCACCCCGCAAGGGGCCTGGACCCCCCCGGGGAGGGCAGACCCGCGTGGCCTCAAAGGGGCACCTCCCTCTCCCCCACCCTCCGGGGCCAGCAGGTCTCGGCAGGGAGTGTGCTCGCTGTGGGTTCTCGAGAGCCTCGGGGTGCCCGGAGGCTGCCCGGGTCGGGAGTGCAGCCTCTCCCGGGGGTGGGCGGAGGCTGGCGCTGCGGCGCGCCCCCGGGGGGCACTCACGATGGTCACGCTGGCTTTGCGCAGGTCGCGGTTCTCCTCCTGCAGCGCCTTGCACTTGAGTTTGTAGGTCTCCAGCTCGATCTTCAGCACCTTGTTCTCCTGCTGCAGCGAGGCCAGGCGGTTGGTGAGCTCCTCCAGGCGGAACGGCGAGATGACAATGCCCCCCGACTTCCCACCACCGCCACCTCCCCCGCCGCCACCGCCGCCGCCGCCGCCCGAGGTCGATGAGCAAGACGACTGCATGGCGGCCGAGCTGCCGCTGTTGCCCCCGCCCCGTCCG